CAGGCTTTCTTGAATCGACGCCACAGAGAGACGTTGTCTTCGACCGAATTCACATTATTCCAGTCGATCAAGCGATAGACCGGAGAATTATTGACTTCGTTATCAACTACCGTACGTCGCCAATCCTCAATAGCATCTTTGATGGCTGTAACTACCACGATAACGATCAAGGGGACCGTATTGAGGGCAGGAGTATCGACACCGAAAATTGAGAAGAACTAGAGGTAGCTGTTAGTCATAGGGATCTTCGGTGTTGAGACCAACGATACGTACACCAAGAATAATGATGAACAAGAAATAGATATTAGCAATGTTATGGAATTGGAGCCAAATATTCTTTGGAACGAAAGTCAATGGTGTATATTTCGCAGTCCGAATCTTGTTCCTGGGGTAATATGCCTTGGGGTGACCATCTTCATCTCTTTCCGATTCAGGGATAGGAATGTTAAAATATACTCTTCGGTTGCTGGCTTCCGCATCGCCTTCAGCATTCGGGTTCTCTGCGGTAGGAAGATTGCTAGATGTGGACTTGCGCTTCTCGTCCTTCATCTCCGAGCGTTTGTTAAAGCGATCCATGATAGAGACGCGTTTCCGCACACCTCCGGCGCCCTGAACTCGCTGCGTCGCCCATCGTTGTCGTTTAGTCGGTTTGGAAATGTTGCTGCTCACTTCCTGAATTTCACCCCCAGTTAAGTCATTCTCCGGCGGCGCTAGATGATTGGAAGCCATTTAGGCTGCTTCTAGCCCTCGACGGGGCATGCAATGTGTGGCCGTTATGTACTTAAAAAAGGTGGAGGGCGAGCATCCGCTCCAAGGAACCGACAGACAAGACCGCAGCCAGTTCGCGAATCTTCGTTTGTTTATGTGCGGAGAAGAGCGGAATGGTTAGACGGCGAGAGGAAATTTGTCAACTATATCGCGATTGACAGCGTGGTAAGAGATCTCATCTGTGAGGCGCTCAAGTGAAGCGGGTGGATTTGATGTAATTACCAGCAGTCTAAAGCAGTGTAATGGGAGCAAGTAAGATGGCGAACGAACGGGGGAGGGAAGAAAGATGGGTTACCCGCCACGGGCCATGCATCTAACATAGAAGATGTAATACGCAGGATCCAAAAGCACTAAAGAAATCTCTGGCGATGAGGATCGATCCTCCAGAGGGGAAAGTGTGAGAAGGAAAAGTAAGTAGAGAGGCTTAGGGACAGTGTTTCTGCCAACCCTCTCCCTCTGGGAAGCCCCGGGAAACGAGAAGGGTATATTACCAATCCAATACGCTGCAGCTTCTGCGGGATCAGCGGCATGGACGTTGTTTCCTGTCCGGTATGGTAAAGTCCGAACCAAAGAACGCGTAAGTTTTAAATTATTAAGATGAAAATGATCATCACTGTGGTACCTTTAGTGATGCCAAATTTTCCATGAGTGTTTCATCTACATAAGCATTTGAATACAATCTTTGCGATGGCGTACAATGCCATTATATTCCCTCAATTTCTTATTAGGCTCCATCGTCAATGTCCTCTCTAATATCGACTCGATATCTAGCTTAGCTATCACAAGTGCAGACTGACGTATGGGGGGGGATCTAGATATTGCCGTCATCATTACGGTAATTTACCAGCAGAATGTACCAGTACCTACAACCACGAGTTCGGCATGGGCATCCAGTGATGCCAGCCTCGCCGTGGACTGCGAGCAACGATACCTTGGTTCTCCTTCAAAACTTTTAGCACCAGTGGCAAGCATCCTCCGATACGGGGTTCGGCTTTCGGAAGAGGCGAGTCCTTAAAAGCAAATATCTGGACCATCATATTCCTAAGGGTCTACGGAAGACGGACATTGAAGCGATTTATGACATATTGCCAATACCCGCATACTATTACTTTAGGTACCGAGTCCATCCCGCACGGTTAAATCGGACCTCCGATATGGACAACTTGTCCGTTAGGGAGAAATGCGGAAACAAGGAAATAAGAAAATTGACAAGGAAAAAAAAAGGTAAAAGGAGCAAGGCAAAGAGCTATAAGGCTGTGTTATACGAACTTTAGGTAGTAGATTCCAACCAGTGCATATCTGACATTGTCTTATTATGATTTATTTTATTCGTAAAACAATTACACGTATGCCGAGTATAAATAAAAAATAAAAATAAAAAAATAAAACAAGGCTGGAGCATTTGAAAGAAATCTATACGGAATATTATATAACCAGCCCCTCGCTAGTAGGTACTTACTCCTCTGAAGTGGCAGTTTTCGTATGCGAAATTATACCCCATCCTGCAAAATGAGATGGTATGCAAAATAGTGCAGCTTCCATGGAACAGAACATGTCATCCACTTTAGATATGGGGGGGCCTTTTTCGGAGAATGGGGCCTGAAACATGCTAAAGTCCGTCTTGGACGGCACATGCTTTCTCCGTAACTATTTATCCACAAGGGCCATGAGACATCATCTGTACCGGCGTCAGAAAATAAAACTGTATACCTACATGGACAGTGCATAAGCCCAGAATTATACTACGATTAACGGCTATCCATATCTTACTTGTGCGTCAACAATAGAAACATCCACTACTACGTAGTGTCAGGGGGATCGCAATTCAATCATTCTATGTTTTCCCTTTCCCCCCTTTTCTATCTTTCTGCCTTCACCCCTCTCCTTTTCCCGTCTTGGCCCTTATAAGCTAACTGCTGAATCCAGTATGGTGTGGCTCCATCTTGCGTGTAGTTGCGGTGGATTTTGGCTCGTTACGTGAGCCGATGAGATGATCGCCCGCCAACTGTTCTCGAAATCGTTCCGATAAACTCTGTGTACGTGAGGGAATGCTCCCGTCAGCATCTAGGTAATTCTCACCCCATGTGGTATTAAATGGAGCCTGAGGAATTTACTTTACTCCTGTAGAGAATATACTCCCATTTGCTAGTACCTAAATTTGGCAATACGCACCCACCGCTTAGTATCCCGTGACCCGTACTCCGTACTGTACGCTGCAAATCACAATTTGCAAAATTAGCCTACGTCAGTCCAGCATGCATGTGTCATGTACGGAGGACTCATGTACAGTACTAGCAGTACAACAGTCTTTGTTGCTCACTTTACATCTGTCTTCCGACCGTACACTGACTTTCTTTTTTCTTTATAAAAAAAAAAAAAAAAAAAAAAAAAAAAAAGAAAAGAAAGAAAGAATCTGAAAGCCAATATCTGTTTTTCATACCTGATCCAATAAGCAAAAACCAGCTGAGCCTGCGTCAATCTACATAAACAGAATCTGTCCATTGAATGGTGGATCCTGGATCTCGAGTCGTTGGGTGTGATGGACAGTCAGATCGGCCGCGAACTGTTGTGGGGAACAAAAGTGTACAGTAAGCCAGATCTGCACTTTTCTCTGCCCCCTAAACTTTTCCCGATACAGAAGACAGGTGGAAAATTTCAGGCTCGGTAAGCAATCGACAGCTTAAAAGGGGGGGCAGTGCACGATTAGGCCGGACAAGTCGAGTGCAAGTATCTGTACCCCGTAGGTGTTCCGAGCAGATACTCCATACCTTAGGCAGTAATGTAACCTAAGCGACACCCCTCCTATTTGAGTAGTATTCCGTATATTCCCTACATTACGGTTGCAGCACAAACAGATGAAGCCCACTGTACGTACTACCAGGAGGTACCCTGAGAGAGGTTTTACAAGATTGAACTGTCTTTCTGGCAAGGTGGGACTTAAGGTTACGTAGGGCGTCGGAATGAAGCTCCTAAAGGAACTAATTCTACCAGAAGCAGTAATTGGCTTTGAATACTGAGTAACTATTGCCAAAAATCGCGATTATCGAACTTTGTGTTGATCGAAATTAAACACCCTTATTCATTTTGTTTTATTTTTTTTAATATTTATTTTTCCTCCCGTTGTCTGTGTGCCTTGTTTGATGGTTATATATACTAATCCCGTCTTCAATGAGATGCCAAGCCTATACCTTATTTTCAAAGTTTAGCCCCTGTCACATATTGAACTCCTTTTCTGTTCTTTATATCATAATGAGATATGGAGTAACAGTATAAACCAAAGAGTTGTACGATGGCATCTCAATATAAAGCCTCATCTTGCCCAGGGAGGCATGAAAACACCCTCTATAGTCTATACTTATGCTGAGAGACGCTAAGTCATACCTTATCGATGAACATATTATACTTGTCTCTTCCCTGTGGCATATTTCGGTATATATGCACACAGGTAAAGTCTTTCCCCAATTTCGTATTACTTTGGTAGAGAAGAAGGATGGCACCTAGTGAGTTTTATTCGTTGTTGTATGAACATGGATTTCAATTCCCTCCCCACTTCGAAGGCCATCCCTTGTCTACTGCAACGTCAAATTCTACATGTAAGACTAGCATTGTACTCATTGTCTTGGATTTTATGTCCTAATGTAGCTGTAGTACCAGGTTATCGAAAATCTTTAAGGGGCTTGAGAGTGTAGTACAGCAGCTGGGTGATTGGCTATATATATCTACTCGAGGAGTGGATCTAGCATATAGCCTTATGAAGGGCTCTCATGTAAAGACAGAGAGAGAGAGAGAGAGAGAGATGCGTATACACAAAACGAGCAAAGAAAGGGATTGAGATTAGCCAAAGAACCGGAGCAAGGAAAACCAGGCCGAAAAGGTCAGTAGAAGTAGAAAGCTGGTTTGGTGTAATAAGTAGTGCGCTTCACATAGAATGACCGTACACCTAAGAACCTCCGACTCTAGCTTGCCCCAGGGAAGTTTATAGTTGCGTAAGCAATTAGAACGATTTAAAAGCAGTTATTAACTTCATTCAAAGCAAAGTTAGTATTTGGACGTAGTCTAGTAGTAGTATACTCCGGCTCTCCAGGCCGGTACCCCATCTACCCATAATGGGTAAGTCATTCTATTGGCTAGCGTCAAACCAAACCTCTCCCCACTCAAGGTTTAGCGCCAAGATGTCTATCTATCGGAAGCCGAGCAATGCGGGCCAATTTCCATATCAAACTTCCTTCAGAATGTCTCAGCGTTCCAGCATCAGGAATTATTTCAAACGGCCAGATTTTTCAGCTAGCAGAGATTCCCGGTACGAGGATCCAAGCGAAACTCCTGCCGCGAGTTCTCAGTCTTCTCCCCTTACTGAACCACCGTCGTCCTTTGTATCCAATGGTGGATCTCCACAAACTCCAGATGGCCCAGCATTGCAGTTGAAGCAATCATTGTTACTCTCTGTCACAGATTCTGCAGAAAATTCACAGCACCAACCAAGCTCCCAGAATACTGAACCCACAGCTTCTGATCCAACATTACCACCAAGCTTTAACTTGGCCCAGCGCGTTGTTAGGAACGGAAAGGAAGTTGTAATTAGCTCCGATGGTGAAGATACAGACACAAGCGAGGTCTTTGAAGATCCAACCTCTCTTTTTCTGAAATTTGCGAAACCAGATGGTGTCTCTACAAGTGAGGATACAAACAATGATTCTTCTAGCCACGGGAGGACTTTGCGTTCCCAGCCGTTAAGAGACGAAGTGAAACCCAGAAGGTTTTCTCTGAGTCGCGTTTCTGCTCCGAAGTACAAGCACTCTATTGATAGTCTTGTTACTCAAGCCGTCGATGACAATGAGACCGAGGCAAGCATTGCAAAGCTTAGGGCTGCTTTGGAAGAGGAAAATGCCCGGAAGGCCGCGTCAAAGTCTGAGACAGCTCCAGGCTTACAACAGTTGCACGAAGGTATTCTGACGTCGGCTCTCGACGACCAGAATGACGAAATGGGGCTGCGACGTCTACTTGATGCTGTCCGGCGAACAGAAGCATTTGATATGGAGAAATCATGGTTTTTCTTCGACCACGGCAGTGAATTAGCACCTCCTCCGGCGTTTCCACGGAACTGTATAGCAGCAAAGTCAAGTCTATCTGTGCTAAGAGGTTTGTCTAAAAGGTAGTGTCTCGGGTTCCGTCTCTAACTCATTCGCAGATCCTGAATCGAGAGAACGAGCATTTCATTCAGGCTCTGTTGATTTCGCATTGTCAAGAGGGCTCCTGCCTGACGAGTTGGTGATGTGGATGCTTAATTCTAGTTTGTTGACACGAATCCTTGAGCTAAACATTACGCTTACATCCTTCAGTACCCTCGGAACCTCGAGATACACTAAGGAACGCTTATTGCCGGGCATTCAAGGTTTGTCAAGCTATCTGTTGAGTGGGCGAAGTCCTGATACTGAAGCACTTTAAAGAACACTACTGCAGAACGTGTACAGTCACTCGTACGACCGGACAGCATTGATGCCATTTTTCAAATGATGGGGGCAAACCAGAAGGCCTTGACATTCTCTGAAGTTATAGTTCCAGACGCAATTCCCAAAAGTGATGCTAGCCTATATTTCTGCTCTTTTCGCCCTTTCTATGTAGCTAACAAAACACAGATAGTTCGCTGCGAGCAGCGCCACGGCACCACGCTGCTCTGCTGTCTATTTTAAACCTGCTGCGCGGAGCAGCAGATCTGTTAGTGTCGAGTTGCATGATAATAGAACAACCACTAACACTTTGATAGATTCTCCGACGAGACTAGAGAGCGCATACTTAGTATTCTTTTCCGCCTTTCGCTCGACATCTCACTAACTCGCGACCCCATGGTTTGCTCGGAATTGGAACGGACTATAACTGCGGTGTTGGAGAGTATCTCTGAAGAAACGGCGGATAAGTTGGTAAGACTACCTATGCCGTGCTACAATATGCAGGATATTCATTGCCGAATCTAGGTATATCGCGTGTGCACATCTACCTATGAAACCATCAAAGACTCTGTATTCCAAAGCCGTCTTCTGACGCACATCTTGCCAACATCAAGCTGGATTGCGATGCTACGCTGCCGTCTCGCCGTCGCGTTCTTGACCAAGGATCCTTCTCCACTAACTGAGGAGCCGGACGTGATGGTTTATTTACAAAGAATGATCGATGTCCTGAAAGACAAACGATTTGACGTGAAGAGATATAAGACGAAAGGCCAGCCCGAGTACGACTATGGAGAACTTATGGCTACAGCTACTGTCCTCAATATTGCTATCGATTCCGGCTGGTCCGGCGTGGACTTTTCGAGCAAAGATGCAGAGCGGGAATTCAACTCCGAGGTTGATGTGCTCGCGGACCGGATCAAGAGAATATTCACCTCTATTGAGGATTCGGGCGCATCCCATCTCAAGCGGACCCTAGCGAAGGAGGCCCTTGAAGCCTTGTACTACCGCATCATATACTCTGTCAGGACCAAGCCACGCCCGAAGAAATCAATATTCGGAGAGAATGGGGCTGATGGTCAAAACAAAAAGGTTTTCGACCCGTGGAAGGTCAAGATAAAACAAGACCCGGAAAACCCCACCCAACAACCAGGGACTTCGCAATGACGACTAGTCAAGGACTAGCCTTATAGCCCTACATCTACTTTTCTCTGCGCGAGGAAACATATCCAGACTATACACCGATCTTTATCATAACGAATGTCAAAAGGGCTTCTAGTGCAAGAGCTTCATAAATGTCAGAGTTACTATTAATTAAAATGGCCTGCCAGGAGCATGACCAGACAACCCAAAATCATCTGATAACGAAAGGGGATCATGGCTGATATGATCTTGATAGCAATAATTAGTGGTTCTACTGCAATACTGCCTTTTCTTGGTTGATCATATTGAAGGGTAACTTAAGCGTAGATAAACTTTACTGGAGAATAGTAAAAGACTGTAGACAAGGCTATGCTGTTCTCCGCACGCGGAGCGTTAATCAAAGAGACATAGATACAAGAATCAGCGATAACGGACTTGGCGCAAAATCAATAATAGGACAGGTATTAGTCTAATCGTAGAACCTCCGGTTCTGGTTCTTTCCGAATAGTGTTTCCCTCACGGCGGGAAGAGCGTCGATCTCGAGCAACCGCAGGCGCTCCTCAAAAGTGTTGTTGAGCTCGATCTTACCATGACCGCCGACAACGACCACACCTCCAGCACTGCAGATCATGCGTTAGATATAGAACGACCGAAAGCGGAAACAAATAACAAGACTTACGATCCCTCTGGCAAAGGCTCGGCCTCATCTACCTCCACAGTAACATCCTTGCCAACCTTCTCTTTGAATACCTTCTGTGCTTCCTCAATAGCCTTCTTAGCTGCGTCATTGTCCTTCGCCCTCACCCGAATGGCCACATTCTCCTCATTAAGAGCGTACAGGCCCTCAAGGATCAGTCCCTGCAGAACGGTTTCATACTTCTTAGAATCCTTAGCTGCGATGTCGGAGATCTTATCACGAGCTTGCTGGAACAGCCCATCAAGAAGTTCCTGACGAGAAGAAAGAACGCGGAGACGAGTACGGTTTGAAAGGGTGGAGCGGGTGATCTGTTGGGACATGGCAGCCTGCTTGAACTTCTTCTCGTACAGCGTGTCGATGGCAGCGGTTTCCTGGCGGACGAGCTTTGACTTCTCGATCGCGAATTCTTCGTCGGCCTTCAGTTCAATCTCACGAGCCTTCTCCAGCGCTTCCTGCCGGATGAAGGCCGTCATCTTGCGGAGCTCGCCCGCGACCTGTTCGTAGACGATATAAGCTCGGGGGATAACACGCATCTCATGCTTCGGAGGCAGCGTACCTGATCGTCGGAAAGGGCATGGCTTTGCGACATCTTGGCTAGCAATATCGGGTGATATCAGAATCTCAGTATTAGTGGGAGTTGAAGGGCGTAGGGACCAGGCAGCGAAAGTCAAGCTTTCCCGATGCGGAGGTGCTTTCTGGGGGAGTCAGGACAATGACCTCGTCAGCATTGGAATTCAGGATGACGGGGCACAGAAGCTATCAGGGAATGGAGAAAGATAAAAACAGGGTGGGAGGAATGCCTACCGGTGCAAATAGTTGGCGGGGCCAGAGGGGGAGAGCTCTAAACAAGCAGCAGGTGGATGGGGGGAGGTTGTACGCAGCGGATCTGGTGACGATCGGGTCAGTTGGCCATAGCGAGTTTGGCGCCTCAGGAACTGCCAGACGGCTTCCCGCCCGCACCCCATGAGATCACTCCGGTCATTCGACTTGTCTCAACTACATCGTCCTGGGCCTCCCATTTATTCCTTGTTCAACTCTGCCCCTTCCTTGCTATCTCCCCCCTCAGAATATGGCGACTGTACTTCGAATCTTGCCGAAACCCTTTTAATGTGTTGCGGCGTCTGGTCTACCGTCCCCCACTCAACGACCAATGCATGAAGATACTCGTGATGGGTAATTTAGGTGACCTGTCCCCACAGGGGAGTGTCGCGGTCTGTTTCCCCCACGACCGATATATTTCGGCATATAATTCACTCAATGTACTGACTAGAACTGGGGTGATAGGTCGGAGTTGTTGTTGGACTGGTTTCGACCAGTCTCCAAGCCATTGGATTGACCCTCCAGCGCAAATCGCATATTCTCGAGGACGAGAAACACCCCTACGATCTCCGCCGGCCACCATACAAGCGTCGAAGATGGCAGGTATGCTGAGACTCGCAAAATAAATGAGGAGTGGTACTGATGCTCTACAGCTGGGCATGCTAATGTTCGTCATTTCGAACATCGTTGGGAGTACTATACAAATAACTACACTTCCGCTTCCGGTATTATCGACTCTCCAAGCTGTCAGTGTCTCCCCATGCTCGGATCCCCAGAGCCTTGCTAACAAGGCTATGAACAGTCCGGGCTCGTCTTTAATACGATTTTTGCAACCTTGATTTTGGGGGAAGCGTTCACCAGATACTCCCTCATAGGTACCATCTTGGTCTGTATCGGCGCTCTTCTCATAGCGACCTTTGGGGCCATTGGGGAGCCTGCACACAGCCTCGATCAACTCCTAGAACTCCTCCAGCGTTGGAATTTTATCCTTTGGATGGCTGGGACTGCTGTACTGGTGCTGGTCATCTTACTTGGTTCAAGACTTCTGAAATACTTCGCGTCTCCAATTCGTTCAAAACACTCGGGCTCCCGCCATTCTTATGTGCCACATCTGCAACTGACCCAAGGCCGTTCTCGACTAATACGTGGGCTATGCTGTGGACTAGTAAGCGGGATTCTATCAGCGCACGCTTTGCTATTGGCAAAATCAGCAGTGGAACTGCTTGTGCGGACGGTCGTGGATCGTGTGAATCAGTTCAACCGATGGCAGTCATGGGTAATTCTGATTGCAATGATCACGCTTTCTCTCACGCAGCTCTTCTACCTACACCGAGGCCTGAAGCTGTGCAGCACGAGCGTTCTTTATCCGTTTGTCTTTTGCATTTATAACATCATTGCCATTCTAGACGGTCTCATCTATTTTCGCCAGATGTCTCAATTGACCGGACTTCATGCTGGACTTATCGCATTGGGTACTCTTGTGTTGCTAAGTGGAGTGATGTGTCTCTCATGGCGATTAGAAGTCATCGATAGCCATGCCGCTGTAACAGTTGTCGGCCCTTCTCAGACCGCACTGGGCCCTGGAATGGCTGTTGTCGAGGAACACCCTCGCTCGTCCCTCGAAATGGGACTAGAAGACGAAGAAAGCCAGACTGGGGAGCGCGAACCTCTTCTATGGAAAGCCTCTCACCGTGGAGCTTCCCACCGACGAACCCCCAGCTTACCTCTACTTACCCCTCAGGGAAGTTCCGCGGACATGGATCCCGCATCCATTTGGGCGGAGCTCGACGACTCGGATCTTGACTACGCAAACCTAGACTCCCAGAAACCATTACTCAAACGTCTCTCTGCCGATCCATTTCAAACCCGACCAAGAAAGAAAAACAAGTCCATCACCCTGAAAGACGCCTCCCTGCGCGGACAACGCCACTCATCAACCAGCCCCTTAAGCCATCAGACCTGGAACCCCCGCAGAGTCCGCACATCCGTCTGCCAAACCGGACACCAACGAAGAACCTCAGCCCCATCCCCCGACAATCGTCGAACGCCCCAAAAGCGGCGCACCTATGCCGGCGGCCCTTCTTTCTTCGACATCTCTGGCCTCGGATACGGAACCCAAGACAACCGCTCCGACACTCCATCCTCCCGTGAACCACCACCACCACCCACCGGCGTAGACGCAACGCCCCTCGCAGGCACGAGCAGTGGCGCTCTAGGAACCGCATGGCGAACCAGTCTACGGTACCTCTCTCGCCTAACCGGTAGTCAACGGGAAAGCAGCCAAAGAACTCACGATGACCCCGAGCACAGTCCGGACACTCCTACCGATAGATAATCTCCCTGCATCCGTTATCAGTGGACGAAGAGAGAAAGACTGACCTCCCCATATCCCATTGTATATTACATCACAATTACCTTTATGCCTGCTTATAAACCGTAGTCAAACACAGCCTGAACTGCTCATTCCATCCTATATCCACGCTCGTCCGGCTTTAATCTGCTATCGGGACTAATCAGGGCTGGCATGTTGAGTGACTCTTTGGATTTGGGGAATGTTACTGGCTTACCCATGTGACGGACTTGGTTTTTCCCCCCTTACTTTTATTTATTTCCCCCCTTTTTATATCATATAGCTTGGACGATGATACCTTGGATTAGATTGGTGGTAGACTTTCCTGACTCTGGGTGTTCTTTTTGAGTATTTGGAATGGACTTCCGGTTGAACCGCAGATCAAGGTTGAAACAATTGACCGAAATCCAGTGGAAATAAGTAATATTATGCGTAGGAGTATTGTACCCTTGTTTATTCCGTTACAGAGTAAGGCAAAAGAAGAGCTCCAATTTTCTCCGTACCATACATGAGACATACTTCCTACCCGGTGAAGGGAAACCCAGTCCGATAATATCGCATCATTTACTCAATCAAGTCAAAGCAAGAGAATTCGTGTCCGATTCCTACATGCGTGTCCTGGGGTACTGCTCCCTGAGCAGTCGAATTTCACTGGTCGGATCAACCAGTGTTGACCGGGACATATGTAAGGAACACACACGACGCAAAGGGGGGAAATAGATAAAGATAAGTCGAAAATTAGTCAAAGCAGGGTTGAAACACAAATTATGGATAAAAAACATTGTAAAACCACTTCGCCAGGAGTAAAGAGAAGAGATGAAAAGCACCAGTAACACCGCCACCACCACTTGTCGTCTAGCAGATAATTAGATGAACGTGAAGAAAACAATTAATAGCTTCGGAGCCCAGAACCAAGCGCTTGCATCCTTCGTGTTTCATCGTCAGTTGAACTTTTTTTTTTCTGAATTTTTTTTTGTCTTTTCATTTTTTAACCCTTGGTCTTGTATGACTTCCGGAATAAATAGAATGGAATCTTGCCAGCACGAGAACGGTGCTGCAGACCCCTCAACGTTGAATCAACGGCTCATGATATACACAGGTTACAAGTTAGGGCACCTTTGGTGTTCGTGTTATGTTGCTGGTATACGACGGAAACCG